GCTGAAGCAGGGAACTGCTAAGGCAGCTGCACCCGGTGCAACCATCACAAAACAAGAGACTCGAGAACTAGAAAGGTGAGGCTCACCACCCATTTCTCCCTCCGCCTTTCAATTAGCCCCACATGTGATTATTGGCCAGGCTGGCACAATGAACTAACTCACTGACCAAGGGGGACATAAAGAGGGGTGGGGTGGGAAGGTGACAGATGCTTTTCTACCAGTGGGCCGGGTTTAAGCAGTTTAAAAATCCACGTGTAGAGGGTCTATTATGGGCTAGGAAGAGGAGTGAGGGGGCCGACGTTGTGCAGAGTTTGATACCCTCCTAGTGTCCTGCCTGAAAGGGTTAAGGCAGGGAGTGTTCTGGGGGAACCCAGGCGGGTTTTCTGGAACCCAGAGACAGCTGCCTCCCGAGGGCCGACACCGCACCTGGACCAGCACCTGCCTGCCTGGGGTCCCAGGTCTCTCTCTCTGCCTTGCTCCTTGGTCAAGGCCCGGGTTTCCGGGCCTCTTTGGGCACGTGCCTGGGGGTGGTTGCTGGTTTTTGGATTGCCAGTGCTCAGTTCGAGCCACCAGTGGAGCCCTAGTTCCAGCCCTCTGGGCAGGGCTCTGGACGCGCAGGCCTGCGTGCCCCTCCGGGAAGGCCACGTGGCATCCGCATGGCAGCTGGTGCACCCTGGAGCATGGGGAGCATGGGGGGCGGTGCCCAGGAGAGATGGGGATTGAACAACCATCCTCCCCAATTCGAGTCTGAACGGGGACATTTCCACGCTGACCAGGCCCCTGGAACTTGTCTGTCAGAGGGTCACCTGTGTTACTTCACACAAGTGTGTTGGCCTGTCTATGACTCACTGCTTGTGAGAGAGACCGGTGGTGACCTGATCTGCGATTGTTCCCCTGGGCCCTGGTCAGGTCATCATAGCCTGGCTTGAGGGACATGCTGGCCAGGTAGCTGGACTCGGGGGAGGAGAGAATACCGGCCCTGGCACTTCAGAAAGACCCTGCCCCAGGCCTTGTACGAGCAAATGACTGCCTAGGGGCGGGGACTAGGGTCGCGTCCGGCCCAGCAGTATCTCTCTCCACCCCACTGGCCCCGAGCGGTCCTTCAGGCCCCACACGAGAATAACGCATGCTTTCTCCAGCGTCCATTGTTGTGTGGACACTTGCCACGAACGGTTTGACATGGGTCCCAGCTCTCGATGTTATCGAGCCTGACGGAGGAGGCTGTCGATTGATAAGAAGCCCAGCAGTGTCCACTCAGCCTTCTTTAAGCCATTGCTGCAGCAGTGCTGTGACTCAGAGGCCAGTGGTTCTCAAGCAGGGACAGGTTTGCTCCCTGGGGGTCCTGGGGCCATGTCTGGGCACCTTCTGAGATGATATCATGGGTGAGGGGCTGGCTGTGACTGGCAACTAGACACCCACAGTGCACCGGGCAGCCCCACGTCGGGGCTCTAATCAGGGAGTACCTCCCATCCTCTTTTCTGAGACCATAGCTTGGGCCACCGCGGGGCCGCTCTGCTCTGTCCCTGGGTCACTCACGAGGAGCCGGCATGGACTTCATGGGCCCCGACAAGATGGACACGGCGTCTCAGGTGACAGGGTGGGGGGCTCCCCAAAGGGGACTGGTGAGGGAGAGGTGGAGGTTCCCGGCAGCCTTTGGTTAGACATTTCCAGTTGTTCTCGGCACAACGCCGGGGCAAGCTTGTCACTCAGTAAGTCTCCATTTCTCTCTCTGTACAAAAGCCGGAACCGTGTTTCGAGGTGCTCATGGAATGATGTCCCGGAGACGTTTCTGAGCATCTAGGAATGTAAGAGACTTAGGGTCATCATCAGCTAAGATGGGTGAGCAACGTTCCCCATAGCGGGTCAGATGGGGGCAGTCTGGGTCTGGGGGCCAGCCTCCATGACAACTCAGCCCTGATGTTTTAGCGAAATAAGAATAAGTAAATAAATGAACCTGGCTGTGCCCCAATAAAACTTTATTTATAAAGACAAGCAGTGGTCATTTATACATGACCTGGATTTGGCCCACGGGTCATAATTTGTTGACCCCTGACCTAAGCCTTTGAGGGTCAAGCTGGGGTCATAGTGAAAGTGGAGCAGGGTCCAGCTTGGCTCTGCTGTGAAACCCGAGTGAGTGTGAGCTGGCCGCTGACCGTGGGCTCTTTGAGGGCCCTGGGCTCACCAGGCATGGACACATAGCACGGGTGCAGTCCATGCTATGGGTGCAGGATTTTTCCCTGGAGTCCAGGTGCTGATGCATTTAATCTGCTCCAAAGATGTTTGCCTAAAATCCAAGGCTGGCGCATGTGGGCAGTAGGAGTGCCACTTTGGCCAGTCTCCCGAGCACATCCATATTTCTGCCTTCCTGAAGAGGGGCCCTTGTCAGCAAGGACACTGTGTGCTGCCTGTCCCCAACATGCCAGCGCTGTGAATGCGCCCTGCACGAGAAGCCCCTTCAGAGAGGGACTGTTAGCACCCGGGTTAGGGAGGGGGAGATGGAGGAGGCTGGGCAGAGGAGGTCACAACTGTAGGAGGCAGGGATCAGACCTGGGTCTTTCTGATTTCAAACCAATGTGCATGTCCATCTTCGCTGGCTTCAGGGGCCCTGGTTCTTGGGCAGCCGGCCAGTCCTGTCCCACACTCCTTCCCAGGCCTGGCGGTCAGCTGCCAGCATGCAGTCCCTTGAGAGGCATGACCGTCCTCAGCTCCTCCCCTCTTCCCTTCCCCTTGCCAACTTCCTGGCTGAGGGGTTGCCCAGCCGGGAGCCCGGGCCCAGCTGGACTCACTGCTCTTCCTCCTGGGCTGTAGGAGCCGCCTCCTACCCGCCCCGCTTGCTTACCCGCCCTCCGCCCGCCCGCCCGGCAGGTCTGGCAGGTGCGTGACTCACATACCTGGGTTCTCCGCATGCCCAGCCTGGGAAGTCAGTGCACCAGACCCCTGGGCTCCTACCTGCCTTGCCAGCTGCCACGTCCTCCCGGAGGGGCCCTTCCCCACCTGTAGGGGCTGCCGGTCTCACTTCACCCCCTGCTGCCCCGAGGGCTGGAGGAGAACTGTCCAGAATCCAGGTCAGTCTTGGTTTTTATATGTCTCTGTTCTTCACAGAGTCGGGGGAGGACCCTTTGGAGGTCCCTCAGGGGTCAGAAAGGGGAGTGACACCCTTGGGCACCGGGCCCAGGGACATCCGGCCCCTTTCCAGATGGTGGCAGGGCTTGGGGATGCCTTGTGAGCAGTGTGGCGAGGAGAACTCTGCTGGCAGCCTGGGTGGACGTGGCCCTGACCCTCACGGTCACACTGTGGGGCGGGGTCAGGGAGACGTGGGATGTGGACTGGGGAGTTCAAAGAGTCTCCAGGACTCGAGTGCACAGCGTGGGGACTCTCCCACTCCCTTCTTGGGGCCCCGGAGGCGGACAGCAACAGCTCCCGACAGCCTCAAGGAACGCCGAGTTCAACCTCGTCATTTTACAGACGGGGAAACTGAGGCTCAAAGGGAGGAAGTGACACAAGGTCACAGAGTAAGCGAGTGTCAGAGGGGGCGCCGGAAGCCAGAACTTAACCGAGGACTCCCTGCCCAGTGCCCCTTCGCTCCTTCACCCCTCCCTGCCTGCTCCTGCCTCTGTCTGCCCATGCCCCCATTTTCCACCTGGTGCTGCCCAAGCCCCTGTTGTTTCCTGGCTGAGTTGAGGGGTGAGTGGAGCGCGTGCCATTTCACTGGGAGTGACTTTAGGGGCTCAGGGGCGGGAACCTTTCAAAGGTCACTCAGGCAGTCCTGATCTTGCATCCCTGGCCCGGAGACTGGTTAGACCTCCACTCGAATACCTCCAGCGATGGAGCGCTCACTCCTCTGGGGCAGCCTCTTTCCTGTGTGTGGCCTAGCGTTTGCAGCATGATAGCCTGATGGCCACTGAGCGCTACTTGGTGTGGAACACTTGGCTGACTAAGCAAATCTTCCCCACGGCCCGGGGGGGAGGGTGAGGCCGTGGGATCGTGGCCAGCCTTGTTTTGTAGTGGGGGAAACAGACACAGAGAGGCTAAGTAACTTACTCAAGATTTCCCAGTGTGGAGAGTGGAGCCAAGACTTGAACAAGCGGAGTGTGGTCTGGAGTCCGCCTGAGCTCTTACTAGCCTGGCTTTGCTCCAGAGACTTATTGCTGGTCAGGAGGCTCCTGAGGCTGTGAGGGAACATGGCTGGATGATGTTGTGTCCTTGCTGGCTAGTCTCCCATGGACCTGCGACAATTGTGGCTCTGGAGGTTTTCACCTGTTCCAGGTGTGTGGCGGTCACTCTCAGCCTCAGGCGGCCCTGTGACCAGCGGCTAGGACAAATGGCCAGCCACCCCCGGTGGCTGTGGGTTCTGCAGAGAGTGTGCAAAGCTGCTGGCCCATGACCTTAACCCCAAACACAGCTGCCAAGGATTTCTGTGGACCCCCTTGGGCAGGGCCAAGGGGGGCAGTAGGTGAAGACGAGGCGGGAGGGAGCAAGAGGGGCCTGGGGTCTTTCACGTTGTGCCCTGTCTTGCCTGGATACCCAAGGGCCCCTGGTGACGAGCAGTCAGGGTCGCCTCACTGGAAAGGCAGCTCCTGGCAGAGCACGGGGGTGAGGGGTGGGTGCGGGAAGCGCTTCCTTCCAACGCGGGGGCAGAAATGAAATGTCAGGCACCTGCTCCTGTGCGCTCCCCAAGGGGTGGGTGCTCCTGGTGGGACGTGAGCAGTGAGTCCTTCGCGATGGGTCTCTTCTTCAGTCAGTGGGACCTTGGAGCTTGTCCGGAGTGATGAGTCTGGCCGCAGCCACCTCCCCACTAGCTGGAGGTGACAGAAGCAGCCCCCGGCATCCCCTTAGTTCCAGGGCCTCTTCTCCAGGGAATCGTGTGGTGAGAGGGTTCTAAGGTCTTCTCCCTTGCCTCTGAAGACAGCCGCCCTGGCAGCTGGTCTACTGCTCCAGGGGCCCTGATGGCACACTGGTTAAGCCCTGCTGGCAGACCAGGCTCACCCGTGGCTCTGAGGAAGAAGGCTCACAGCCTGCGCCTGTGTAATTACAGCCCAGGCCCCCTACGGGGGTGGGGTCGGGGGGGTGTTCCTCAGTTACATGGCGGGACCCCTACGGGGGCTGTTCCACGGGGTTACGGGGGGTGGGTGTCTTTCTGATTGAAAGCCATCTGGCAACAGCACTGCCAGCACGGCTGCATTTCAGTTGGTGAGCACTGCCAGGGGTGGGCACCACGTGCCCCCATTTCGAAGACGAGAGGCGAGGCCGCTCCGCCAGGGTCATGCAGTCGCTCTGTGGTAATGAAATGCTCACATTATCCAAATCACCCTCCAAAGCCCAGCTTGGCCGACGCCCATACCAAGCTCTTATTGTCCACCCTCGGGCCAGGCCGGGCCAGGCTGTGGTGGGATGCTCCAGCCATGGTTCTGGTCTTCTTGTTTCTGCCTCAGAGATCCTCAGGACCCAGGTGAGTTGTGGTTTTTCAGGGGCCTGGGCCACCCCCTTGGGGGCAGGGCCTGGGCCTGGCCAGGCCCTCATCCTAGTCCATCCTGGAGGTGACCACAATCCTACGTGGCTGCCTGTACAAACCACAGCCAGTGTGCAGCAGGGTAGAGAGAAGCCATTGATGCCGTGGCATCTGGGCCCCGCTGTTCCCAGGAGTCTGACATTTCATCCTCACAGGCCATGCTCACAGAACGGACAGAGCTCACAGGCCACGCTTTCTGGCGGGGAAGCTGAGACTCTAGGTGGTGAAGTAACGCTCTCAAGGTCACGGGTGGGGCTGGGGCAAGTGTTGTGGTTCTGACCAGGAGCCAGACACCGTGCTTCAGAATGGAAGAGACCGCCTGAGTGCTGTCCCTGTTTCAGGGAGCAGGAAACGAGGGAGCTCCCCTGGCCAGCCTGGGGCCTGCTGAGCAGGTAACCCGACCCTCCTCCAACCCAGCCCAACCCTGTCCTCAGCACAGTCACTGCAGACAGGGCTGCGGTCCTCACTGGGAGGAAGGCAGAGAGGGAGGGAGGCAGAGAGCCACCCCCTCCCCATTTGACCCTCACCCTCCTCTCTCCTCTGAGCACGCTCTAATGAAATCTGATAAGCATCCATGCTAATAAAGGGGGTCCAATGTCATGGCTCAGTGAAATGAGTACCAGAGGGATCCCAGGTGGGCTGGGAGCCAGGAGGCTGCCTCTGGCACCTGCTCAGTTCACCAAGCCTGTGTGACCTTGACCTTGACCAAGTCCTTTGTTCTCTCTGGGCCTTCGTTTCCCCCTGCACTATGAAAGGAAGAGATTGGCTTGGAAGGGTCCAAAGGGTGCTTGCTTCCAGCTCTGGGAGTCTCTGGCTTCCTTGAATGAAAGGCCCAGCACTGCCCTCTGGGCTCCCTGCCCACTCTTCCTCCTTCCTCCCACAAACCCCAGGGAGCCCAGGAATGCAGGGACCTTCCAGTTTGCTTCTGGAACACCCAGACAGGCAAAGACTGGAGCCAGCTGCATGAGAACCTGCTTCTCCTCTGGGAGGTAACTCAGGGCAGCTTGTAAACCCTTCTCCCTTTGCTGCCAAGGGCACCTGGCTGAAGTCCTGGGTGGTGCACATGATAAAGGCACTCCGCTGCTAACCTTTAGGTCAGAGGTTTGAGACCACCTCGAAGTGCCTCAGAGGAGAGGCCTGGCCATCCACTGTGGAAAACTATCAGCCGTGGAGTACAGGTCTGCCTGGCGCAGGGGGTGCCCGTGAGTCAGAATGGACCGGTTTGGTGAACGGAAGATACAGTCCTTATCCCAGGTCTGCCCCTTCTGAGGGTGTGTGTTTGCACCCCACCCTGAGTGGTAGTTTACGTCACTGTAAAATGGGAGCTAACCCATCTCATCAAGGTGGTTCCACCTCACGGCCACCCAGAGTCCTGCTGAGCAGTGCTGGGCTTCATGTCCAGCTTGGGAAGCAGGTCGCCGGGCCTTTCTTCCGGGGATTTGGGTGGGTTAGAAACTGCCAACCCTTTGCTTCCACGCTGAGTGCTTAGCAGTTTTCTCCATCTGGGGCCTCCACAAGAGGAGCCCCGGTGGCGTATTGGTTACCCATTGGGCTGTTCGCTGCAAGGCCCGCAGTTCAAAACCACCAGCTGCTCCCTGGGAGAAAGATGGGGCTTTCTACTCCTGTGAAGAGTTAAGTCTCGGAAACCCACATGGACGGTTCTAGCCGCTACGAGTTGGAATGGACTTGATGATGGAGAGTTTGGTTTTGAGAGGGACTCCGTTTCTCCGTGAAGGGAGCCATTGACTCTGCTGGTTCTCTCCCTGCTACCGAATCCATGCCACTTCCGGGTGGTTTCAAACTGCTGACCCTACTGCCAGGGCTCCCCCTGCTGATGGTGACTGATTAGTAGGATTCAGTGGGTGGGCTCTGGCAAAGCAGCCCTGACCCCGTGGCCGACTTCTAGTAAGAGCTTGGTGAAAGGAAGGCGGGGCCCTTGGCACCAAGGCCTGCTCAGTCCCCCTTAGAGCCTGTCGATGTCTGGTTTCAGGGTGGCAGGATGCCTCGTGGTGCCGTCCTGGGCTCCGCGACATGTTCCGTTCAGACTCCTGGACGTCTCTGAGTGGGTTAGGGGTGACACGTGGCAGCCTTGTCCTTTCTCCTTCTCCTTCAAGTCCTGGAAACCCCACACTGGGCCACGAGCCCCAAGCTTGCTCTCCTAGGAGGCGGGGCTTTCTCATCCTGGGAGCTCCTCTCCGCAGAAAAGGAGAAGCCGGAGGCTCTGGCCAGGGCGCCAGCTCCTCACTGATCCTGCCCAGAATACAACGGACTGGCTGGCTGAAGCCTTGGATCCAAATTCACCAGGTCCAAGGTGCTGTGGTTCAGCCTGTGATCTCTTCCATTAGCTACAGACAAACCCTCCCACGTTTCAGTGTCCGCGTGGGCACTCCACCACTCTGAGTTCTTCCTAGAACCCAGGCCATGGATTGGGGATGACTCTCAGCTCTACTCCTGGGGGCAGTGCCCCCACCAGGTAGGGGTCACCCGGAGCTGTGACTTGTGATGCCACCCACGGACCTCCACCTGTACCAGACCACACCTTACCCTTAGCGATGT